GTGGTAGATTTTAGAGAGGTTTTTGGATATGTTCTTATAGGAAATGGAACTCCATTTCGGCAAGGATTACTCTAGAAAACTGAAGAATATATCTATATTGAATAAAGTGGAATTTAATCCACCAGAGCAGATATTTCTTGTACCTTTCGACCACCTCTTAGTCCATCCACACCTTCTATAACTAATAACCCATTGAGGGAGCATAAATTCCCATCAGACCTCTCGTCTTTTATGGTTCTACCATATGACATTTATCAATTGCAGAGACCGACGACAAAAGCCAGCGGCAGATGTGGCAGAGAAGAAGGTCCTGTCCATCGATGTATCGGTGTCTGTCAGTGGCACTGCGACGGAAAACCATATCGAAGTGTACTTCAAGCCAGGGCCACGCCCTGCGCTATCGAGAGCACTTCAGCATTCGTTACATATGATTCCGAGTTATGTAAATAGATGAAGTGAAAGATGGTGAAAGGAACAACGGAACGGAGCGCAGGGAAGGGTCGCAGGGTGGCTGAAATTGATAGTTTGTGAATGCAATCGACACACTGTTGCTAATTAAAATGGATGATCGATCGAATGGTGTGCGAATGGGACAAAACAGACAAAAAACCGCCCTTGAGAACCAGAAATGGTTCTCTGGCTGTCCAGAGGGTGCCAGAAGTAACGCCTGGCATTATCCTTAAGCCTTAAGCCGGCTTACCAACACCTCGCTCTCCTTCGAGCCTCAGATCGAGGCTGCTCTCGATGCAGCTCCATTTCTTAGGGAAATTCACGAACTGCCACGCAAATCTCTTCTGACAATATAAATAGAAACATGATTTAGGAGTTGCGGGGGGATCAGCGTCAAAATTACAGCTGGGATTACACACACTTCCCTCCCGAGCGCGCATGCCCCAGGATGCTGCACGCCGGGTGGTGCCATTTTTTACCATTTTTTTTCTGTTCGGGGGTTGCTTCGGCTGTTGATTAGCCTTCTGCGCATCGCGGAAATGGGTTTGCTTTCCATTTTTTATACATCGCTCGTACCATCATAAATTATAGCCCCGAATTGGGTCTGGTCTGTGTTCCCATTGTTGCGATCCATGTAATTTGGTTTGGCATCGCCATCGCCAGGGGGTAGTCGGGGGTAGCAGGGGGGAGGAGGTGTTCATAATCAAAGAATAACAAACTGCGCAGGATAATTGCATTCGAGAGCTGTGTACATTGTGTTTTGTGATGGAAACAATGGGCAAAGGTTGATTTTTACAGTGGGTGATGCCCCGCACAGGATCCCCCCTTGAACGCACATTCTACACAGAATTTTAGAATTTAATTTACAAAGTATGATCTGTAACCATTTGTGATCCATGGGGGACCAAAAGGGGTCTTGTCTTTGGCAGATATCAGCAGTATTTTTGTGCCATATGTAAGGGGTACTGCAATATACATAGGTCCATTTTATAGGTCCAATTTTCCTTTTTTCTGAAGCTCGTGGGATCACACACACTCAGACCTCTTTTGATCTATTCCTTTGTTTCAAACGGAGCTTAGATATCGAAAATATACGTTTCTTTCCACTCATTCCTTTGGGCTCTCCTTAAGCCGCGTCTTCCCAGGCTTTGTTTCATCTTTCCACCCATACTTTTAGCACTCTATATTTCATTGCTTCTCTTTCATCCCTATTCCATTGCATCATTCCCTTCCCAGCGTATTCCCTCTTAAGCTTAAACTTCCTGAACTCATATCCATTAGCCCTTACAATGGATTGCGATGTCTCCCCTTGGTGTTTCGATCAGCTGCTGCCACATAATCATTAACTTGTGATCTTGTACTCCCTTTCCACCTGACGAACCCACATTCCGCTGTTCCAATTTTAGAGCTTCGCTTGCAAATCTAAAGACTCGCAACAGCTGCAACTTTCCCCCCGTTTTAGGCCCCTTAACAAGAGATGAATATACGATTCTCATAAATGCATATGTACCGATCTGTTGTGTGGGGGCCAGGACCTATAAAATTAGCACAGACCGAGACCCCGACCCCAAAAACTAATTGCATTAATATGTCAACATACATACAGACACGACGTGCACTGTTCGGGCGGACTGACTGTCTGTCTGCGACTGGGACACTCGGCTACTCGGCTGGGAGTGAGTGTGAGTGTGAGTGTTTCGTGCGAGTGTTTTCGGATGAATCAGTGCGGAGGGTTTGAGTTTATGAGTGTGCACGCCGCACTACTTAAGATTACACAACAACAAGAAGAGAAAAATTTCGAAAAGTACTTAAAGTTTTTATTTATTTTGCGTCTCTCCGCTCGACACGCAAACAAGCGACGAGGAGGAGTACTAGCACTCGTAAAACCCCGAAAAACTGAAGAAAAATAATAAAATTGATGAAAGCAAAGTGAAAGAGAGAGAGGGAGAGGGGCACCCGGACCCCCGAAATTAATTCAGTTGCCACCCACTTGGCAGAGCGGCGGCTGTGGCTGTGGCTGTGGCGGTGGCGGCGCTTCACAAAAATTTGTTTTCTTTTCCATTTGGGGAAAACATCTTTCTATTTGGATTTTGCCTAATGTGAAAACTATTTTTTCTTCTTTTATGATTTATCGTGCATATCGCAGCCAGATCTGCAATCGCCCCTTAGCCAGCCAACCATTAGCTTGGCCAACCCTTTGGAGGGCCTTTGAAGTGCTTTGCCCTTTCCACTCAAACGATGTGCTAATTTGGCAAAATATTAAAACAACAATTAAAAGTCCATTCGAGTGTCAATTGCAGAACATTTGCTGCCTGCTCCTCGGAAGCATCTGCATGGAAAATGGAAAATTTACGACCCAGCGCTGAAAGGGTTAATGGCGCTGCTGTGTTGCATTCCGTTGCGTAATCGATCATTATGAGGTGGCACTTATCGATTAACGGTTTTTTTGGAAATCTTTGAAAGTTTTTTTTCCTGGTGTTTATTTTGAAACTCGGATGTTTTTGGAGTTTAAAAAAGAAACGATATGTCTTCGGCATTGAAATATGGCAAGTCTTTCAGTTTAAAAAATTAATAAAAATTGTAATATAAGTGCATATGCTTATATATACAGTTTCGAGGCTAAGTGTTGACACAGCAATAACATTCCATCGTACTGCTGTTTTAAGAGCCATTTTCAAAAGAAAAATAAATTTATCCGATAAATTCATAAATTTTCTATAAGATTAACTCATTTTTATAAACGTGACTGTATTGCAACATTATTTTTAAATTTCTTAAGCGAAAAATGGTCTAAAATGTAGGTATATAAATATGTTTTTAGCGACAATGCACATGAAAAAAGTTCTACAATATGGAAAAATTAAAATTAGACTTAATAAAAATTAAATTTAATTTAATTTGGAAAAAAATTATATATATAAACATAAACAGTAAAAAAAGACAGAAACTCTCTCTTGCTTTTCCTATAATTAAATTTCATTCAGCGAGCTGTTTTTCACAGATGATTTTACTTATTTGTCCCGTTTTTTTGTTGTCTTTTTTAAAAGAATTTTTGACAAGCGAAGACATTTGAAGATGATTAATATAAGACATTAGACGTAGTACTTAGGCGTAGAATGAACTCTCCCACAATGATCTCATATTTGGCACACATTTAACAAAAAAGAGCGCCACATCTCCAGGCCTTGGAATGTCGAAACTTATATTGAGACACTTGAAAGGAGAGCACTGGACCACCCAATGGAATGCTGCTCCTATAGACAAAAACCAAAAATCAATTACAAATCAAAGTCTTCAAACAATGAGTTATGAATGATTTCTGAACAACCTGCCAAGTCCATTGAAAACAAGTACAAGTTTAATGTAGTTGAAGTTAATTTTGAATGATTTTTCCCTAGTGAAAAGTGATATTGCTAATCATTGCCTTGACTGAGCTTTCAACAGCCCATAACCCCTTAATCAGAGTCACTCAAAAGCGAAGCTTTGGCCGCACGTGCAACTCAAAATTGTGTGATGTTGCCGCTGCCGTCAAGGCGGAGGCCTGGGCTCTTATAAGCTGACAGATCGGCAGCCAGGCAGGCCATTGATTAGGCATATCAGCGAGCAGGCCGGACAGCGACAGCGAATGTGGACCCCCCAACACCATGAGAGGGCGAGCGAACAATGCAAATGAGGGGCTGGAGCAGATCTGGTACTGCGGCTGTGTGGCTCACCCACTCACACACTGTCCAAAAACTTAATTTATGCGCCGGCAATTAAACATGCATCATTTACGTTCGCCTCTGGAACGAGCGACATCGACATCATTCGACATTCAACATCCAGCGACAGCGGAGGCGGCAACAACGACACGAGGCTCCAGCTCCAGTTCCAGCCCCATAGATCTGTCAACACTTGGCGCAGCGGAAATCGGAGGAATGGGAGCGAATGAGCAACATGACATGGGGCCACATCTTGTGGCATTGTCCATTCGCCAACGCCAACGCCCCACCCCGCCCCCATCATTCCATCATTTGTCAATATTAACTTTAATTAGCGAATATTTCGTGGCTTTTTGTATCTTTTCATTGTGGTTTGTGGTCGCTGCTCTTCTCGGGATTCTAATGAACCACAATTTGTTTTATTCGATTGGGGGCGCATTTACTTAATTTTTGAAGAGTGCAAAGATCGTTTATATTCATTCACTTTTCATTGTGGGTGTGACGAGATTTCTTGACAGGAATGTGAGTGTCATTGGGAGCAAAGGGGGGGAGCACTGCCTATATTTTAATTCACACTTTGTGCCATTAAAACAATTGCAATCCGCTTTGGCCATCGATTTGTGATTAATATTTAACGATGGCATTGTCATCACAAAAAGCTTTCGCATTAATAATTTACAACCTCATTTGAGGGATTTAAAACAACAGAACACTTAACATTAAAACAGATGCACTTTTGGCAGACTAAAAAACACATTTGAAGCGCCCTTTTCCATGTGGCATCTTCCATCAAGTTCAACCTCGATTTCCATTAATTGATGAATTTTTAATAGAACATTACGAACATACCTGGGCAGGCCTTTTACTTGTTGAACAGGAAGCCGAAGTCGAAGTCGAAGCCTCTTTTTAGGCCACGGTGTGAAAGCAAATCAAATGTATGGCCCAGAACGTGCGAAATCTGAAATGAATTGGTAATTTATTATGCAATGTCATGGCTTTCATGTGGCTGGGGGAGGGGGAGGGGAAACGGAAAGCTGGTGGGCTAATTAATGACCAAATGGATCTGGTCATGTCAGCGCTTATCTGAGGCGAGAGAGAGAGAGAGAGAAAGAGAGAGGGAGAGGAGTATCGACAACATTTGCCAAATTAATGCAAATCATGCAAACACCAGAAGATCCAACGGCTGCCAATGAAGGGGATACCGATGATGCCACCGCCACCGCCACCGCCGCCGATGATGATGATGATGATGATGATGCCAGGCAGCTTCGTATCAATACGCGCCTAATGAGTCAAGTGGCCAAAAAGGATTTTCGGTGGGTGCGGACTGCGGTCTGGTGTATCTCTGTATCTCAGTATCTCTCTGGCTGCTGTCTCCTGCGTCTGGTTCATGCCAATGGATGGCTAAATCCCCCCCAAGCCAGATAAATTGTATTTCGTTGGCATTACCCTGTGTACTGTGTGGCAAATGAATGAATCACACACACAATGACTGGGGGTCAAGACAACCCAGACAGGGCCACGGATAAGACCTGGAGAGACCTGCCTTGAGGACCTTCCAGACCCCGAGACAGACACAGAGAGAGAGAGAGATGAGTGGACCTCACAACAGCGACAGTATAATGCCATTTGCCTTTATCAATTCATCCATCATTCATCGCATTCACGCATTCATTCATTAAGTCTCATGGCCGATGGCCCAGGGGCGTGGCCCGACCACTGAAAAGGTATTAATCATGCGACAATTGCGGCCGATAGTCGAAATGAGTAAAGGATGCGTGTATCTATGAGATCCACTGACCGAGGGGCGCGGCTGCATTACGCAAGATATGAAGAGAGAGAGAAAGTACTGCTCTGAAACCTTTGGGAAATGCATAATATTGATCTTTTCAGGGAGAAAATCGTTGGGAGAAGTTAATGAACTCCCTTGGAAATACTTTCTGGGTCAAAAAAGATCTTTCAGAGAAAAGAAATGCCACCCGATAAGACAATGCTCTCAGCCTGAACCGCAAAAGATCTTCGGAGGACATTGTCAGACCCCAAACAAAACAACAATCCCATGCCAAACAATCCATTCATAAAGATACACTTCAGACGCCTCAAAAGGAGAGACAGCGAAGTGCAAGAAAGATGGCCAAAAGATTTGCCCTTTTGTGAAAGTGTGAAATGTTTACGAGAGCTGCCCAATGAATATCGCTGGGTATTTTGGTATTCATTGGCTCTCAGACTGGGGCTGGGGCTTGAAATTTCTGGTGAAATGGCCTGACACTTGACGTGGCCTGAACACGGGACAGCAGGCGGGGCGGGGCGGGGCGGAGCGGAGTGGCACGACACTCGTTGAAATACGCACATCCAATGGCCATAAATAAATGCGAAATGCATTAAATGCCCCGGACACCAACAACAGAAACAACATGCAACAACAGTGACAAACGAACAACAACAACAACAACAACAACAACAACAACAATCGGCCACAACTTCGGGTCTCGATTTCCCCCCGTCTCGATTCTCTCACGTCTCAGTAATTAATTAAAGCATTAAGTGCTAATTTTACGACAACTCGATTTGTGCGTTGCGCTGTGCCCCTCTGCAATTCGCAATTTGCATGCTGCCACATCGCCATCGCCAGTGCCGCATCTCTCCGACATCTCGCCATCGGAATTTGGCAGACGTTGCAGCAAAAAAAAAAAAAGAAGAAGGAAGCAAATGTGTCGTCTGATAAGGATGGGGGCGTGACACGAAGCAGATTAATGGAGAGGGAGTCATGCGGGGAGAGAGAGAGTTGAGTGATGTTAATCGCTCATCGATTGATTCTATGTTGTCGATAAATATGTGCCTTTAGAAAGGAAACATTCCACGAAATCCATCCACATTTCAAAATAAACAGAAATCTATATTAAAATTTCCTATTTATAAAGAAAAGTCATACCAAAAAGTGTGAATCTTTTTATTAACGATGCAATATCTTCAAATATAATCGATAATTATCGATATTATAATTAGCCCAAGGGTATATTTCAAAGACTAAGCATCGATTAGTAGCGACAAATGTACAAATCAGTACAAAAAAGTATCTCTTACAAGTAGTTCCAACACTCTCTTCTTGCCATTAGATCTGGTTATTAATTAAGACCATCAAAACGATAAAAAATTCGATTCTATTCAGAAATTATGAGTTACTGTTTGACTGTAGAACAGCAGTCGTTAGTAGCTTTCCTTAACAAATTCTCTAAAACCTATCGATAATTCATCATTTCACCCATTAATCGATCTTTTATCAGAGTATATATCGAATATTTCGATTAAAATAACTTCGTTCCTTCAATAAGTGTACTCCCTTGAAAATCTCAACAGAGTCTCTTCATTCTTGCAACTCTGCACTCTACCATCTCTAGGTATCGTTGCACCTCGCGAGTTTTCCCCCTCCGCGGGCTGTGGCTGTGACTGTGTCGACTGTCAAACGTCAGTGTGGAGTCGGTTGTCAGCCAGACAGTCAGCAGATGAAGACGAAGCCGAAACTGAAACAAGTTGGCCGGCGATCTTGCCGAACCGAAAGCCTATATACGTGTAATAACAACAACCACAACTGTTCAACATTTCAACTGTCGCCAAGATTTTCATCAGAGTTTTTTTCGGTTTGCCCCTGCCATCTCCCTCTCTCCATCTCTCTCGCTCTCACTCGCTGACATACCGAATCGTTTGCAGTTTGCAGTTCATATTTTCCCTAGGCCTTTGTTTGCTTTGATGTTATTTTTAAAAGGGGGAAGAGAATGCTCATTTGTTGCCGCTGTCACAGCGAGAGACTCCCTTGTAATTAATCATATGCATTTGCTTTCATTAGCCAGTCAACAAAACGGAAAAGATACTCCGCGGAGTATCTAACAGATGGATGCCTTGATGGCAAATCGAAGGAACGAACGAGTCGAGTGCTGTGACAACAGAAAGTGGGTAATGGTCAGGGTTTCTTTGGTTAAAGATGGATGAGTGGCAAGAAAAAATGCTTGAAAGAAAGAACCATTCTACGACTTTGTGGGGAGATTATCCTATAGTGGACCTGCTAAGCTACAATGGGAGAGAGAGATCACCTAAAGTAGCTACAATTTGTTTAGATTTTTGTGGTTTTATCAACCAATAAGCAAAGATTCCAGCAGCTGCTCTCCAAAAACTCTGAAAATTCACCTCCTTCTCCACCACATCTCCCTCTCCCTCGCTGCATCTATCTATAGAGAATCGTTTTATTTTCGTGCCTTATTTAGAGGCAACAAATGCCAGCCAGCCAGACACTCTTAGTCATCGCAGCACACAATGGATTAAGGCAGAAAGAGAGGGGGGCGGAAATAATGAGCGGATATTTATCAGGCGGACAGTCAGCTTTATGAATTTTATAGACGGCCATTAAAGGATTAAAACCGCAGAGCTTTACTTGGCTAAAAGTTCTTCAATCTTTTCGATTGTCGATCGCCTGGCATTCAGGGGTGGGAAGGCAGATGAAGGTAACGATCTGAATCATTTGCTTGAATGATCACGGACTCTGGGACAAAGCCGCAACAACAATAAATCCTGCATTTTGCATATGCAATATTTGGTCTCGATTTTCCTTTTTTCCAGGTAGCTGCTGGACGGATGGAAAACCCATTAAATTTGTAGCACAATTGTTGGCAAAAATGTCTATAATTACGGGGAATGGCCATGGCAGAAGCCAGCAGGCAGGGGGGCAGAAGGAGGGTTGCACTCTCTTGCATTCTTGACTGCATTTCCGATTGTTCAGGATGTGTCGGAGAGAGTGTTGGTAGAATAATTGGTTACGGCTCCGTCCAGAGAAATCTGTAAAACAAATGAAATGAAATACATTCGATGTGGAATGAATGGGGTGGGGGGTTGCGGCACGTAGGGATTTGATTTCTCAGGTTTTTATCTACGCATTTCCATTCGATTCGATTCCATGCCATGACGTTGCTGCCTGTCTGTCAGTCGCATTTTACGAGCCGCATGGCCCTCTCTGGAGTGCGCTGTGGAGTGGTCTCTGGTGCGTGAGAGTTTTGCTCAATTAATGCTTGTAAATTTTGCTTAGAAATCACATAAATTCTCTTGTTGAGAATAAATTCTGTCTTGAATTATGAATTCAATAAATAATAGTTGGACACAGAAAACGGTTTGAGATATATGTTTTCCCAGAAGTAATTTGTTTGACAAATCAAAAACTGGAAAATTCTGAATGGAAATTTAAGATTTTTATGGAATTTTTAATTATTTAAATATTAAATTTTTGACCCTCTAAGACTATAAATCTTAAAATATTGGTAGAAAATAATTTAAATAATTTCAAATAATTATTTGAATATTAAGCGATTATATAAAGATACAAAATTCAATCCCTCAGCTACTTCTAAATCTTCACAGATCTTCCATCCCTTGACTGCTAAGCCCAACTGGGAGAGAGAGAGATGGAGAAAGAGTGCAAAAAGCGACGCTGGAACAAATATTTTCTTCCGATCGCAACAATTTTTGACATTCCAATAGATACGATTCTGTTTTTTCGTATCTTAAAAATATATCCGACAATCCCTCATCTGTGGCCCACATCCAAGAGATCTTTAGCTCCAGTTTTCCAGTTCTGTTCTTTAATTTCAATTTAACTCAATTGATGCCTTCATTTCCGAGATACTTCACCACTTCCTTATGCAAATGAATCTCAGCTTTTGTGCTGATTTGGCAGCAAAGATCATTAATATTAATTCGGGCAAATCTTGGCGACTATACTCGGATAATTAACAGCGAAACACCACTCCCAAAATACCCGAAACACGAAACACTCTCCTTCCCAGTGACATATCCAGTCGAATCCGCATCGGAATGACTTCAACTTAAGCCTGTTTGCGCAATATATGATGTTTGGCCCCTCGAAAGGAATGTTAATGCCACAGATACAACAAAACATATTTCGAGTCATTAGGC